TCATAAAATAGGCGTTATTTGTCCCTACGTAGGTGAACGTAAAGTGAGTGTTTTTAGTACGTAGTTACGAAAATACTGTGAATGACAGTTCAGTTCAAAAAAGAGCATTGTCCTTGTTCGAGTATATTCGTAACGCTCGTGTAGTTGCAATTCCGTCCAGTAGAGACTCGCTCGTTCGTGTTGATTATTACTATTTTGATTTATGTCGAGATCGATCGTGTGAAAAATTCTGTTTTTATTCTTTAATGATATTATTTTTATTAATACGTCGAAGTACATGACTAGGTGACCGATGACTTGAGGTATTATAAAATGCGATTCTTTAAAATGTCGAAAATTATTATTATTCTTTTCATAACGCAATCATAAAAATGGCGTTATTTGTCTCTCCGTAGGCCAATGTAAAGTTATTCTTTTTAGTACGTAGTTACGAAAATACTGCGAATGACAGTTCAGTTCAAAAAAGAGCTTTGTTTGTGCTTGTTCAAGTATTTTTGTAACGCTCGAGTAGTTGCAATTCCGTCCAAAAGAGGCGTGATTATGTTTTCGTTCAGTTAACTACATTTACCGTGTCTTACAGCAGCAATACAGTATCTGTCAAATACTGAGAGTTTCTAACCTCCTTTTCGTGATCACTCGTGTGAAAAATTCTGTTTTTATTCTTTAATGATATTATTTTTATTAATACGTCGAAGTACACGACTAGGTTTCGGGGGGCTTCGCCCTCCGACGCGTCCGGTGGCTTGGGGTATTATAAAATGCGATTCTTTGAAATGTCGAATATTATTATTATTCTTTTGAGTTGGTTTTTGTGTAGTCGGGGGGCTTCGCCCCCCGAGCCCCCTGACCGGGGCTCCGCCCCTGGCCCCCGTCGGGGGGAGACCCCCCGAACCCCCCGCGCGATCAGCTAGTAAGTACGCTTGACAGTGGTTCTGTGTTCCGAATCTTATGTACGCGTTTCTCAACATTCTTTTCAGTTATATATGTTTTTCAGTGTCAACGCCTTTTTATGATTTTGTTATGAAAAGTATCGTGCGCAACACGTGTGGCAAAATTTTGGAACTCGCACTTCTTTTTCGTAACTCGTCTCCGGTGAGGGCGCTTTCGGCGCCCTCACCTACGACTCGTTACGAAAACTTAGCGCTCGTTCCAAAAAGGCCGCTAGTTCACAGTTGTTACGCAATGTACTATACTTTACAATGTGTCCAACATTTTTGGACATTTCATGAAGTGCTACAGCCAATTATGCATTTTGTGAAAGTAAATAAAATTTCACAATACGTCTAAATGTAAAATGCATTTCATGAGATGCCCAAGTCGTTGAATGCCGATAATGAAAAAATTATAAGTAATCTGTAAAACCATCATTTAAATATAAATAAAAGAAATTTAATTTTTTATAATTCAAATAGAAGATAAGTTATAAATTATCTTCTATTTGAATTATAAAAAATCTAGCTTCAGTATTATAATACTGAAGCTAGATCACTTTGATTTTTGTCGATCAGACAAATATTCTTTTTGCTATCGCCGGCACCGTTTTCTATGACGTGTGAAAAAGAAAATTCGCGAAAACGCGCTTTAAAGTTTTCGGTCCAAAAAAATATAAGTTTTTGGATACTTAAACTAATTAAATGTTACACCGAAAAAAATAAAATCTCAAAGTGAGAAGAAAATTCCGCTTAACAATTATTTTTACATTTTATTTTTAATATGCGAATATTCATTTACAAAAAAGAGGAATTTTTGTTTATATTTAAAAGTTTTTTTACTAAAAGATGGATTTTAACCTTTCTTCTTTGTTTGAAATTATTCCTCTCAAATTGAAGCAAATTTATACTAGAAAGAAGATTTTTAAGCTGTTTTTTGTTTTTCTGAACGCACCTTCAAACTGCTTAAAAAGTGACATTTAAAGGAAAATGTAAAAGAGGAAAAACCTCTCAATTAGAAATGAAAACTTTAGTGCCCATATATAAGAGGAAAAAATGCTGCAAAAGAAGAGGAATAGTCTACAATTGAAATTATTTTTTTTTCGGTGTAATCAGCTATTCATGGGTTAAATTTTAACTCCCCAGGGGATTCTATACAAGTCGCACCCATTGGGGAGTTAATGCCAGGGGAGTTAAATAAAGAGAGTTAAAACTTTACACCCAAATGCTAACTCCCCATAGAAAAAATAACTTGCGCGGGTGTTGATGAAGGGAGTTAGTAGGAGTTAGTAAATTAACTCTCTTTTGGAGTTGATTTTTAACTTGAAAAATTTCACTCCCAACTCCCGAGTCCGTTAACTCCCTAAATTTTTTACAGTGTACACCTCGTTAAAAATGCCTGCAGCCAAATTTGACGCTATTTCGACAATTTTAGAGTCGGAATTGACGTGTTTTGGGTTTAGGCGCCACGCAAACGAATTGAACGCTTCGTTCGCATTTTGAGTGTGTGTAAACACCTTTTCAGGTGTATACAAGGTGATACAAGGTTAGGTAAAGAATAGAACGCATGAAGGGGCGGAGCGCGCGCGCTGGGGTCTGCTCGAGCATTCACACGTTCTCGACGGTCGGTCACAAAATCTGTTCTACCTTCGAAAATATGTCGAATTGGCCTTTAAAATTTTAAAGACATATTCTTCGATAGTTTTGGAATAGATTTAAGACAAAAAAAGTCGATTTTTTAAGCCTATAAAGGAGACTATACTGCTTTAAGATTAAAACAACTTTTAATTTTCTCTTTAAGATCATTTAATTTTCAACACAAGTTATCCCATTCATCAGCTTAAACAAGACTGTTTATATAGTCTAAGAGGGAATAAGAGTATAAAAAATTGGAATGAGAAATTGCTTTCTCATGTAATTGTTAAAAGAACGCAGTAGTGTACAAAACACAAGTCAATAATAGAAGCGAATATTGAACAAATAGTACTCAGTCCAGTTCTTTCGAAAAATGAATGCCGTGCACATAAAGTAGATACCTACTCGAAAACCACAAGTTATTCTCTCTCTCTCACACTAATGGTCGTTCACTTATCTTACCGTTTCACTTACTCTTACTACTCTCAACTATTATGCAGTGCAGTTAAGTTCATTAAATTATTAAATATTGCTGTGAGAATAATTAATTATACATTTCATTTTACGTCAATTTACTATTTTGTACCCGAAAAAAAAGAATAATCAAATTTACCATGAGGAGAGTCAAACTTGAAAAAGGTTAAGAAAAAATAAATGTTTTTTATTTATTTATTATTAAATTCTAATAACCGTATCAAATTTAAACTAGTTGACAATATTATTAATTCAATATTATGAATATTGTTGACATCCATACTTACATTAATTACAAAGTAAAATCCACGCATGATCTAATTTATTTCATTGGTAAGGGATGTTTCTTAAATAGGAAATTTCCCCCATCGATTGCGTAGCCGAGAGGCTTAATGTAAAAGCGTGCGATTTATAATTATATGCGTATATTTAGTTGTATGGTTAGGTAGGTGTTCAATCCCGTATGATTGTAAGATTTTCTTTTTTTTTAATGATTGGTTATTGTTTTTTTTATATAAAATTGACGAAGTAAATAAAAGGAAACACTCGTTTCGCGTCGCGTCGGCCATTTATTGACAGGTTCCGCGCCTGCGTTCCCTCATTGTGAAAATTTCGAAGTAGGGGACTGAGTCCAGTTTCTCTACTATGCACACTGCAGCGCGCCTTATAATCTTCGCCTGTGTTTCAATGCTCTTTACAGTGACATTTGCAACTAAGGCCCTCTATACACTATACGCAACACCCTAAGATGCTTGATGGAAATGAATTAATGTACTTTTACTGGACTGAGTCCAGTTTTTTCAATATTGACTCCCAGTTTTTCAAACTCTATTTTTCTCAGTGTAGGAAAACTTGTCGATTTCAACAGCAGGGCAAATAAACATTAAAATGAATAGATAAGGATTTGTTTTTTTTTTACTTTGAGAAAATGCCTTCAAGTAGAGAAGAATTATTATAGTCAGACGCGAGAGGCACTTAAGTCCTTGTACTAAATTCTCATTTAATCCGAGAGGTATCCTCCACTAATTAAAAATCTTCTTCAATAAATAACGATTACTTATAGTTTTGCTTTTTCGTTTCTATTTTTATAGATCAAAAATAAACCAGAGGCGTTATCTTTATCTTTTTTTTTTGATTTTACAGGATAGTGCAGTTGTTATGTAAGTGTAAATGTTGCTGACATGCAATATAGAGAGTCAATTACTGCTCTTCTTGCTCTCGATTCTCCTACGCAATTTTCATATATATGAACTTCTTTTTAAGTTTTAATACAGTATTTTAAAATATTACTCGAATATTTTCTTGTCATATAAAATATTTACAGTCCCGTATCTTCGATAGTATAATGTTTATAAGTAAGACAATATTTCTGTTTGAAAGATGCAAAGATTAGAATACGATCGGCGAATAAATTGTAGAGATTAAAGTGATTCTATTCATTACGTGATGCTGTGGAATCATCGTATGTAACGGAATTTCATTGGACCTGAACATTCCACCTTGTAACCGAGTTTCTATATTCCTTTTATGTTCCACATTTAGACGATTTTATTTTTTTCAAACCATATTTTGTTATAAACTTCTGTCATTAATTATAATAGAAATATTTTTGTCTCTTTTTTGTTTCAGGTGAGTGCATGTTTCTGTTTATATTAATTGCTCCGTAGGAATCGGTGAGTTATTTCTGCCATTAAGATAAAAGTTTTTAATTATCTAGATTTTCTCTACAATTTGAACATTGAAATTAATTAAATTAATTAAAATTAATAATTTTACATTCTTGAAGAAATTTTTTAAAGATTTTTTTAATTTATCGAAATTTTCTCCACGACAAAAGGGACCTTATGACAAGAGTAAATAAGGTCCCTTTTCTCGTGGAGCGTCACAATTGTCTGTGAAACGTGCTTTTGAAAACATTATTAGTTTAAATTATAATAATGATTTTTATTTGGAAAATCAAAGTTGGAGTCTATTCAAGCGCCTAGTCGAAGGATTTCTTCCTTTTTTGGAGGGCGGAGGGGAGAAATGTGGAAAATGGTGGAATTGATACAGTCGGAGAACAATGTAGACATTCTGCGATATTCTCGGAAGTGTAAAATACGTGAATAAGGCATAAATCTTCTAGTCGGAAAATGTTAACGTGAGTGCACGATTTCGCGACATAGACTGATGACAGGGAAGGTAATGGTGACAGGATGAGATATCCATATATGCGAAAGTCAAAATAAATAACCCACTTTAACGAGCCTTTCGTCCTTGCTCTCTCGGTGGTTTGAAATATAGGTTACTACGTTTGGAATTTTTTCATATAATAAAATTATATTTCCCCTTCAGATTTATACGAAAACCGCGTCAGGAATCTCAACGAGATTCGCCAGCCCGTGTGGCCAGGCGCGCTACTCCTAGACGCGTCGGAAAAATTATGACAACGATATTAAATTTCAACTGTGATTTTAATTATGGAAAAAAAGAGAAAGGGGTAAAAAAATGCAGAAAAAGAACAAAAGAACGCAAGGGATTTTTTTTAGACGATGTATATACGAGGCTATAATGTAACAAGTTATCCAGCTTTATTATTTTTTCACATACCTAAATAAAATATTTTCGTTAATTGTTCAATACATTATACGTTTACAAGAATCACAGTCAGTTACTTTTTCATCTTTTTTTACATTTGTCACCTAGTTTGTTAATTTTCCCAAAATTTTTAATTAAAAGTTTAGTTTTCAAAAATTTTTAATATATTTGTGACGCGCAGTAAAAAGAAAGTCTTATTTTAAGGCAGCAAGGCAGTCTTAAATTAAGATGCAACATTTTTAATTTACTTTTTACTGTGTAAGAAGCAAACGAATTATATGTTATGTCCGTATTAGGATTAACTTGATTAAAAATTCCTTTTTAATTATTTAAAAATTCGAAACCAGTTTTACTTAAATATTTTTGATGTAATGTAGACTTGAACATCAATAGTTTATGATAGTAATTGATTCTTTTTCTGTATTTTTACTCAAAAAATCATAAACATAACCAAAAAATTTTTGCTTCTTAGGTACCTTTCTTGAAAGCGCGTCAAATATATATTTTAATAAATCTTAATTTTATTTTCTTTAAACTTTCCTCGACTAAAATCTTATTGTTAGTTGACTGAATTTAATTCGTCAAAATTTTTAATTTTTGGAATTCCTATTCATTTGATTTTTAATTGATCTCAAATTAAGTTGATATAAATTTCAATTTATATCAAATACATTTTAGGAACAATTTAGCAGAATATGATAAACTATTTTTTCATTTTCTAAAATATAATTTTTCAGATTATATATGTACTGTAATGTATAAAAATCATAATTAGGAAAAAGTTTTAAAATTATATTTGAGTAAAAATTCCTGAAGTGTAACAGCAAATTTTGAGATTTACTTTTTGTACTTGGTAATACATGAAAATGAAACAAAATTATGAAATAATTAAATGCCTAGAAGGATTTTTCACAAAAATTAAATTTCACTTAGTTCTAAATAATTGAAGTTTTTTGCAATGTTTAATTAAAAAATTAATATCTGCAACAGAATAAACGAATCGCTATAAAATTTGGTATGTATATGCAGAAAATGATATAGTTTTAAATGAAATAATTAAAAAATTAAATTATTTAATTTTTATAATTGTTATTGTAAATTTAATTGTTTATTTATAAAATAAACAATGTTCTTAACTTCGTAGGAAGTTCGTTCAATTTTCATCGTAATGGATATTTTATAACGATTTTATACCTGTTTGGAAATTCAGAGTCCGGCAATTAGGAGCAAAGTTATTAATTTTTTTCTGTCGGGCGGCACGTTTGTTTACCGCGCAGCCACTATGGTCTGAATCTACAATTTACTGTTCAAAAAAGTGTACAGCCCACAGATTTTGTCGAAATCTCGCAAATTTTTTATAAAACACTCAAAAATAAATTTTTAAGAAACTTAAGGAAGCGAAGCACTTCTTAGAATTTCGATTTTTTATTATTATTATTTTAATGCAAATAACAAATAAATGATGACTTTAATAGCTTTTCTCGAGGGGGTATTTTCTAAGAAAAATGGTGTACACAGTAATCCCTATTACGCACATTACGGCTAATACATGACTAATACCCTTATTACGCTAGTATTACGCTAATACGTTATATTACCCGAATATTACGCTATATTACAGGAATATTACACAATGTTACAGGTGTAATTCTGATGAATCACAAGTTTTAAACGTTCAAATGAACGAAATATTTTGTATTAAAAATATTTTCATAAATTATTGATTCGAATAAAAATTTAAAACTTAGATTCTACATTTAAAAACTTTAAAAATTAATTTTTTTGATAGTAACTCAAAATTATTGTCATAAAAATTGAATTTGAGGAAGAAATAAATAAATTTCGTTCATTTGAACGTTCAGAACTTTAGGATCATTAATTATGAGTATTTTGGATGAAATAAATAATAAAATTCAGTTATAAGTACATAGGGTAAATGTGGGTATTACCGTGGTTTGAAATCTAATGCAGACTTAGTCAATAGATTGTGAACAAACCTCACAAGATATTTGTATAATTTTTTTTTTAAATTGATCTTTGACTTTATTTGATATAATAAAAAAATTTAGAATGTCGTAGTGCGTATATTTTATTAAATAATAAATATTTTTGAAAGTAATGCAAGTGCTGGTATTACCGTGGTGCACAAAGCTTCATGATCGGAATACCGTGTGCCATATACCGTGGATGATCTAGTTACCGTGTGCCTTATACCGCGAAAATTTCAACTTGTAGAATTCGCAAACGGTTGAATGAAATTAAGCAAATTTAAAACAATGGTTTATTAATTTAACAATAAATATTCTTATATTTTAGCAGATACTAATAATAATCACAGAATTCGTTATAAATCTATTAATAACTTTATTTAGTGCCTTTATTAAGTACATACATTCCTAATAATATCACAGGCACACAAAAAAATAAAAAAGTCAAAACCCAGAGGTCACACCCCCCTATCCCAATGTTTTTGGGGTCGCTGAAACCGAATATGACCATGAAAAATTTTTCTCATCGGCCATTTTCCCGCTACCACCCCCTTACACCTGCTCCCGGGGGTTGGAATTTCAGTTTAAAAAGAAGTGGAGTAGGGTGTCTATTCCTATGTTTTTTGGGTCGCTAAAACCAAAAAAGACTACCAAAAACAAATTCTTCCCTCCCTTGACCCCCTACAACTCCCTTAACAACCCTGGGGTGAGGGGTCGAAATTTGAATTTTCACGAAAAGTCGATTACGGTGTCTAAACCTACGTTTTTTGGGTCGCTGAAACCAAAAAAGACTACCAAAATTAAATCCATTCCACCCTCGACTCCCTACAACCCCCTGCAATAATTTTTGACAATTAATATTTAATTTTCAATTTCCCAAAAATCAGTTCGTTTTATTTGAAAAAAATTATTGCAGAGGGTTGTAGGGGGTCGGGGGTGGAAAGGATTTGATTTTTGCAGTCTTTTTTGGTTTCAGCGACCCAAAAAACGTAGGTTTAGACACCGTAATCGACTTTTCGTGAAAATTCGAATTTCGAGCTCCCACCCTGCGGGTGTTAAGGGGGTTGTTGGGGGTTAAGGGAGAGAAGAATTTGTTTTTGGAAGTCTTTTTTGGTTTTAGCGACCCAAAAAACATAGAAATAGACACCCTACTCCACTTTTTTTAAACTGAAATTCCAACCCCCGGGAGCAGGTGTAAGGGGGTGGTAGCGGAAAAATGGCCAATGAAAAAAATTTTTCATGGTCATATTCGGTTTCAGCGACCCCAAAAACATGGGGATAGGGGGGTGTAACCTCTGGGTTTTGACTTTTTTATTTTTTTGTGTGCCTGTGTATTTAATTAAATATTTTTTATGAAAATAGTAATTATTATTAAAATAACAATAGTATTTGGTGTAAATCATTTTGAAATTATTTTTTAATTCCTGCGGTTCTCCTTTAACTTGAAAAGCACGATTTGTTACTTTACATATTATTTTTAATGATAATAACGACCCACGGTATTTAGCGCACAAGTTCAAAACGTTATCGAATTACCGTGTTGATAAAATAAAAATAAAAATACGTTAAATCATAATTTACCACGAAGTTTTGACTTTAAAAATACATTAATTAATCGAATATACAAAAATTAACAAGTTTAAAAGTATTAATAATGAAAAAAGCGATTTATATAAAACTGTATTTTTGCATTACAATGAGCAATTTATCAAACTTCCGCACCTACAAAATTTAGAATTTTTTAAAACGAGAAATGTAAGCTAAATAACAATAATTTTTTATTTATTAAACACATACAATATGAAAGTAACTATCTGAATTTTTTTGATTAACAAATTGGAATATAAATGGTAAAATTTGACAAAAATAGCGAAACCACGGTAACTCACGCACCCACGGTAATACCCACACTTACCCTAATATTTACTCTAAATAAATAAATAATGCACATGAAACGAAATAAAAAATTTTCATTAATTTACAAGAATAACGAGAACATTGTTTTAAATCATGAAACACTTGAAGCATTTAAAATCGAGTTTAATGTACATAGTAACTTAAAATTATTTTCCTCTATTTGATGGCGTGGTATACTGTACAAATATAATTTTTAATATCATAGTACCCATGAACATCCATATTTATAAGAGTCAAATTTCTGTGTTTGACAATCTAGTTAATTAATTATTTGATAAATTGAACTATGCAAATAACAATACTATTACGCGACTATTACTTACTATTACACAGCTATTACTCGGTAATACGCTATATTACTGACTATTACGCACCATTACGCACTATTACGGGTATTACATAGCTATTACCAGGAATGTGTATACTCCAATACGCAAGAAAATACCCCCTCGGCTTTTCTTCTCATATATTAGGGAAAAAGGTGTTTTTTCTCGATATTGCATAAATATTATGAGTATTAACTTATTAAGGACAAAAAACGATATTCCGACAATAAAATTTTTTTTTTATAATTTTAAACAAGTTTTAATTGTTAAATTAACAAATTAATAGCTCGCTTGTTTATAGTAGAACAAAATTTGTTTCTTTTCTAATGGCTTTTGAATTACGTCACTATCAACAGCTGTACATAAATATTGTTCACAAAATAGTATTTATTAATGTTATAAACAAATTAAATTAACAAATGAACTGTTCATTTGATTACAGGAGAAATGGCTATGAAAAATGTCTATATATAAAATATATAAACAAATAAACAATTCATTTGTTAACTTAATTTGTTTATAACATAAACAAATGATTACTTATGAAA